TGCAACACGAAGTACACATAGTAACCATATTAAGACGAGGGTTGTGTTGATTCTTGTACTATAATACATCATATGACTACAAATGTACTTACCAGGTCGTTGTGAAATATAGACTGTAGATGCTTGTAAAATAGGTACACAATATATCTACACATGTAGTATTAGAACAAAATGGATAGAGGGTTGTTCGTAGTAACCAGATTAACACAAGGGTTGTGTTGCTTCTTGTACTATAATACATCACATGACTACAAATGCACTACAGGTCGTTGTGGTTAGAATACTGTAGATGCTTGAAAAAAAAAGCATACCATAACTACACATCGTAAATATAGAAGCTGCCTGGCCGGCATTCATATTTCCAATAATAAAAAGATTTACTGGCCGAAGTGTATTTTATTTGAAGAAATATCTACACATGTAGTACTAGGACAAAATGGATATAGGATTGTGACTACATCTACTGTAAGTAACCTACATGCCTATACACATGTAGTGCCGCACTATTGTAGGTAGAGAGTTGTGTACTGTAAGTACATTACATGTAAAGGCATATAATACAACTACCACGCATACCTGGATGCTCACCGACACGCTTCGTGGACCAATTAAAGGAACTCACTGGTTTAACGGTCACCGAGATGGTACATCGAGCTCAAGACAGAGATGGATGGCGTCGTGTTTGGGATGTAATACGTACAGTGGGCCACAACGTTCGATCGTGAATAAAATGGTTAATGCAACCACTCCAAGATGGGTAGAGGGTAGCAACAGCTTGTACCATATCTACACATAATAAATTTAAGCTATTTTTGATGTATATAATTATTTTCATATTTAAAACAATACCATACTGTCCTTACTGCAACAATAAATTATTTGAAGACTTGGCTCATCAGTGGTGAACCTTCCCAGCGTATTCACTAATCTACCAATTAATCTATGTGTAGACAACCTCAACGAGAACGTACCTTTGATGGACATGTGATGCGCGGATCAGCAGGAGAGACATTGCTGACAGTGTTGGAGGGAAAGCTCCGGGGGAAGATATCGAGGGTAGGAGACGACAGGGATACACAGACGATCTAAAACAATGGACTGGACAACACAGGAGATGAAGAGGATGGCGGAGGAGGTATGGAGAGACCATGTGGCCAGCCACCCTCAGTAGAGGAAGACATTGAAGGAAGGAAGATATGGAGAGACCATGTGGCCCACCCTCAGTAGAGGAAGACATTGAAGGAGGGAGATATGGAGAGACCATGTGGCCCACCCTCAGTAGAGGAAGACATTGAATGAGGGAGATATGGAGAGACCATGTGGCCCACCCTCAGTAGAGGAAGACATTGAAGGAGGGAGATATGGAGAGACCATGTGGCCCACCCTCAGTAGAGGAAGACATTGAAGGAGGGAGATATGGAGAGACCATGTGGCCCACCCTCAGTAGAGGAAGACATTGAAGGAGGGAGATATCGAGAGATCATGTGGCCCACCCTCAGTAGAGGAAGACATTGAAGGAAGGAAGACAACCTCATCACTCACTAGGTATCAGAGACTTATTTATAGTGTTTTTTTTTTGTTGTTGTTGTTGTTTTGCTTCTCCCTAGTACACGTGGTAAAGGCCATGATAATCATGGTAGTAGTAGAGTAGGCGACTGTTTTTACTGTAAGTGCACCACATGTCTACACATGCGAAAATCAGTTGGACTTTTGCCCTTATAAATGTGCCAGAGCCCCGTTTGATTACTTGCACTCGCTGGTGGGGTTAAACTTTTGCAAGAATTGGGGGCCATTGAACTATACATTTTTTAATCAGAAAAAAAGGCCCAATGCGGGACTCTAACCTGGGTCGTAGCGGTCGAAAACCGACGGTGTAGACCAGGGGTCGACAAACTTTTGAGTCGAAAGAGTCAAAAATTACAATTTACAGATTTTCAAAGTTTTTAAAGAGACACAATTTGTTTTCTTTCGAACACTAAATATTATATACCCGCATAAATAATATTTTACGTGTGGAATTATATAAAGATTCATAGCTTCACAGCCAAAGAGCCGCATGTGTCTCGCGAGCCGCAGTTTACTGATCTCTGGTTTAGACCATCCTTCCACCGACCCCCTGTTTATAATATAAATGTGTACAGTAGTCTAGATAGAACATAGCATAAACATCCCAGGTCTCTTCTAGGGGTGATGTCTCTCGAAGGTTTTTATTATTTTGTAAGATCCTTTATCATTTCACAAGGCGAATGTCTCAAGTGAGGACCCACCGTATACAACCAATGAATTATCTTCTTCTTCCTTATCTCCACTCAATCGTATTAGGGTGTATGCTTGTAAAGTTTGAGACTTTGATGGTTGAGATTTGACAACCTAATGATTGGGTGAAGTAGAATGTAAACAATACTTAAAGTTATACCGCATAAGTTTCTTTTCTATGAAAAATCAATATTTATTTTAAAGAGAAATATTTACTATTTCTAACTTTTTTGCATGAAGTATGAGAGGGTGAAAATATGAAGAGTAATGGCGAACGGGAAAATAAAGTATTATTTACGAACGGAGAAATAACGTCCAGGGTAGCCTAGTGGACATGGCACCTGCCCGGTAAGCAGAAGGTTGTGTGTTCGATTCCCGCCCCTGGACACTTTTATTTTTCCCGTTCGCCATTACTCTTCATATTTTCACCCTCTCATACTTCATGCAAAAAAGTTAGAAATAGTAAATATTTCTCTTTAAAATAAATATTGATTTTTCATAAAAAAGAAACTTATGCGGTATAACTTTAAGTACTGTTTATAATCACACGCCGCAGTCCTTTATGAAGTAGAATGTGTCTGTCTTTGTCATTAAGACTGGGAGCACTACTCAGTGTCAGGCCGACTTAGCTCCAAAAGAAATGGCCGCTCTGACATGAGGAACAGACGCCATGTACAGCGGCTCCCAACATAGAGTATAGACTCATCTTGTATCCCTGGATTAGGAGCCCTTACAGGGTACTATCAGCCGGGCCAGCTGAGCCCAGGTTTTTTAGTGAGCTTGTTACTGCTCCCCCTCCTCCTTTTTCATTCGGGCTTGGGACGGCAAAGGCGGAGTTCCAATGAATTATGAATACACACAACACAACCAAACATAAAATATTCAAACTAAATCCTTCACCGGCAATCATAAAAATCCCTACAATAAATAACCACTCTCTGCCAGTAGAGTAAATAAATGATATGTAAAAAATATATATATATAAATTTACATAGAGATTATCACGAAGATCCCTAATGGAGTCTGTAGCAACATTATTCCAAACAACTTCTGTTAAAATATTCAAAGATTTAAACTTAATAGCAGTTACGTTGTTTTAAATGTTATAAATTACAGGTTAAAAAACTACAAATGGAATATATATTCAAATTGGAAGCGCACAGGAACGGTGTCTAATATGAACACGGTTTTAGATGTGCTTTGTGAATAATATTAATAAAATAAAAAAGGTTTTATATGAATGATTGTTTCTTCTGTATATACAAAGTTGAGGCGTCTTTTATTCTAGAAATCAAGTTAATCCCAACGCACAAAGCCTCGCCAAGAGACGCTCTATTTATAAATGGAATTAAATTTCTAATATTTTCATCAGAAATTTTGAGATATTCGCTGAATAGTCCATGTAAATATTGAACTGAAATTCGGAGAACGCTCGTTTGGAGTAGTTTTCATAATCGCTCGCGATTTTTGAATTTTGGTCAATTTTGATGAAGTTGTTTATAAAGACTTTCTCGAACTTTCTACGAAATTATTCACAACCCTATACATATAGTGAAAGCTTCTCAGGAAAGACAAGAATAACTCAGTATTGATTACACTCTAAGTCACCTTCAAGACAAGTAATCAGTAACACAAGTCACCTTCAAGACCAGTATATGTCAAAAAGAGCAACCTCAAAGCAAGCAATTGTCATCACAAGTCACCTACAAGACAAGTAAGCAGTAACACAAGTCACCTTCAAGACAAGTAAGCAGTAACACAAGTCACCTTCAAGACAAGTAAGCAGTAACACAAGTCACCTACAAGACAAGTAATCAGTAACACAAGTCACCTACAAGACAAGTAAGCAGTAACACAAGTCACCTACAAGACAAGTAAGCAGTAACACAAGTCACCTACAAGACAAGTAATCAGTAACACAAGTCACCTTCAAGACAAGTAAGCAGTAACACAAGTCACCTACAAGACAAGTAAGCAGTAACACAAGTCACCTTCAAGACAAGTAAGCAGTAACACAAGTCACCTTCAAGACAAGTAAGCAGTAACACAAGTCACCTACAAGACAAGTGAGCAGTAACACAAGTCACCTACAAGACAAGTAATCAGTAACACAAGTCACCTTCAAGACAAGTAAGCAGTAACACAAGTCAGCTACAAGACAAGTAAGCAGTAACACAAGTCACCTTCAAGACAAGTAAGCAGTAACACAAGTCACCTACAAGACAAGTAATCAGTAACACAAGTCACCTTCAAGACAAGTAAGCAGTAACACAAGTCACCTTCCAATAAGTGTGAGCACCAGTTAATCCTGACTCCCGTATTACCCAACGTCTTCCAATTACTATAATTAACCTAACCTAACTAACCCCTGCCATTTCAACTCAGTGCCCATTACCAACGTCTAAATGGATTCAAAATTCTGAAAGTCATTACTGGATTTAATTTGTGCGCCTGATTCTTTCCGTCGTATGGGCTCAACTCTTCGCCTGCCTCATTTGCGAGTTATCTTCTAATTATTCTTCTTGATTTTCTTTTCTTAACTGTGACGGTCAAGTCTCCAGTACTCGGCTTCAAGTCTCTTCTTATTTCTTATCTCCACTCAATCATTCCAGGGTATCAAGCTTGTAGATCTTGTTGATGGTGTCTGCTGGGATTTGTCTTCTTCTTCTTTCTTATCTCCACTCAATCATATTAGAGTATCAAGCTTGTAGAGCTTGTTTATGGTGTCTGCTGGGGATGTGTCTTCTTCTTCTTATCTCAATCATATTAGGGTATCAAGCTTGTAGAGCTTGTTGATGGTGTCTGCTGAGGATGTGTCTTCTTCTTTCTTATCTCCACTCAATTATATTAGGGTATCAAGCTTGTAGAGCTTGTTGATGGTGTCTGCTGAGGATGTGTCTTCTTTCTTATTTCTACTCAATCATATTAGGGTATCACGCTTGTAGAGCTCGTTGACGGTGTCTGCTGGGGATGTGTCTTCTTCTTAGGACCACTCAATCCTATTAGGGTATCAATCTTGTAAAGCTTGTTGATGGTGTCTCCTGGGGATGTATCTTATTCTTTCTTATCTCCACTCAATCATATTAGGGTATCAAGCTTGTAGAGCTTGTTGATGGTGTCTGCTGGGGATGTCTTCTTCTTTCTTATCTCCACTCAATCATAATAGGGTATAAAGCTTGTAGAGCTTGTTGATGGTGTCTGCTGGGATTTGTCTTCTTATTCTTTCTTATCTCCACTCAATCATAATAGGGTATAAAGCTTGTAGAGCTTGTTGATGGTGTCTGCTGGGGATGTCTTCTTCTTTCTTATCTCCACTCAATCATAATATGGTATCAAGTTTGTAGAGTTTGTATATATAATGTATATATAAATAATATCGCCATTGGTGGCGTCCACCGCGGGAAAGACTCCGCCACCGATGGACTGCGAGAGTTCTTTCCCACAGAGTGGGCGGGTCGATGTGATGGCTGGCGGTCGACTTTACAGAGTAGTTTTTTTTTCCTAGAAATTATAATTTTAAAATAAAATAATTTTCATACAACATATATATTGGTATTCAGTGATTCTATTAAATCCTTTACTTTATTTTTTTCCAATAAAAATTCTTTTTCCCCATCCAAATCTCCCTGGCCAACATAGCTTCATCAGCCTGCTACACGTGGACAGAATAAATTATTGTGGATAGTTGAAGTTTTAATCTTTTTTAACTATTCTCTTTAGACTGCGTATTCGTCTTTTTTCTCAATTTACTTAAACAAAATTTAACTCTTTGTTCAATATTATTTTGTCTTGTTGTACATTGCATCTAAGAATCGGAAATGCGAAATGCGTGATGTCGCTGGAGACCCACTGGTGATTCTCCACCAAACTCTACAGCGCTGGTAGAGGCGCCATATTCATTGTACATAGTGTATATAATGCATATTATCTTTATTAAATAGTGAAGACTGTGCACTCTGCATGTATTGACAAGATGTCCGATATGTCCTCACTTCTTTTTTTCTAGATTTAATTCATTTTGTCTTCTCTCTAATTGTAAATACGCTGCTGTATCACTTCATAAGCATAAATAAATAAACAAGATGTCAATAAAATTATTTTAATTTTCAATTGCCTAAGAATCGGAAATAATCAATGTGTATTGACATGTGAACATGTCTTCGGAAACAGCCTAGACGATGACACCCTGACCATCCTGACGTCTACCAAGACACACATCTATAAGTACTTCCTCGGTGTGGAACTGAGGAGTGTTCAACCTTGTCTGGAGGAGAACTCTCTCAAGGTGGGGAAGCCCTCCTTGCTGAAGAAATTTGTACACATACAAGTATATATTTAATTAAAAAGGCATATATTGGATCAAAATATCAATTATTTTGTCCATAATATAAATATTTATATCAATTTTTTCTCCCCAATAAATATAGGTAATGAATATAAGCAAAATATATATATATTATTTTTTTAAACTTAATTCTATTGACGTTATGTGGCGCTGAGTTGTTGTTAACACACATTAATATGTTATGATACTTTAATAAAGTTTGGCGTTCAGCCAACTGAAATATTGGCAAAATAAATGATATTTTGATCCAATATATGCCTTTTTAATAAAATATTTATTTATGGATTGCTCTATTTTCAAAACAACTGTATATATTTCTCTACATTTTATCTACAAGTTATTTACTCCCTCATTATATATTATCCTTTATTTAATCTTCTTTTATCTGTAACACAAATGATCAGAAGAATCAATTAAATTGTTTAAATTGTCAATTGACGTGTAAATATTCTCTCAATGGCAGCAATTCAGTTACAATATACATAGTGAGATCAATAATTTTCAGGAATGCTAAATATTTAAACAAAAGTGTAATAAAGTTTTATTTTAAATTTCTCAAAATAATCACCGTCACTATCTATACACTTGTTCCATTTTTTTTCCAGATATCAAAACACCTCTGAAAATCCTCATCTTTCAGGCTTTTCAAAAAAATCTTCGTATTCTCCTTTATTTCAGGTATTGAGTCAAATCGACGTGTCCTTTTTTTAGACTTTTTTAATTTTAGGGTAAAGGAAAAAGTCGTAGGGAGCAAAATCAGGAGAGTAAGGTGACTGGGGGTAGATATATAGGACATTGCGACTACTGTGATAGAGATGTATGGAGACATCTGAGGCTCTTCATTGGACATGACAAAATTTAACACGACAATATTTTCATTTCTATACATAGATGGCACGTTATTGTTTTATATTGTCAAGTAGCTCTGCAACTCCGGTCACAAGAGGCCCCATGGGACATCTGTCAATCATCCCTGGACTCCGGGGGTGGGGGCCACGAGTGTGAGGGGTTCTCGGAATCTGGTCGGCGGGTGGCTGACGTC